GAAAACTAGTCCAGTGATTTGGACTGCACAACATAATTTCAATTCAGTTTCCTGTTCCCTTGTAGGTTTCCTGTTTTTCCTTAAGTGAATCACTTTTGTGGGCAGTGCAGTTCTCCATCTGTAAAATAGGAGTGATTGTACTTTCCTACGGAAAGTGCAACAGTTGTAAAGCTGCCCGCAGAAAGCTGGTAGGGCACTGGTACTACAGCTTCAGGGCTGCAGAAGGGTGGTGGATACACGCATGGGGCTTTGGAAAGACAAGAGGAACTTCCAGAAATAAGTAAATGAGCAAAGAGTTTAGACTATCTGTGCCTAGGGTTGGAAGTATGGGAGAAAAACAAACGAGGAGAGGGAGGCTTTTAGATGAAGAGTGCAGTTTTTTCTTTGCATTCAGAAATCTCTGACAAACTGTCTTGTGCACCGTTCTTCTGGCCACTGCCCTGATACATGAAATTATGTGTACACAATCTGTATCCAAGCAAAAAATTCCTGCTAAGGTACATGCCAAATGTTTTTTGAGGAAAAATAAAGTGTAGATGTTAAATTTACTGAAAAAAGCATATAGAGGAAAATAAAACTCATTTGGTAAAATCGAATGCTAAGCATTTCCTCAGAAAATCTTTTTTAAATTGCACATTTAACTTGATAAATACTTTATCAGATAATACCACCTCTGTGTCACAATAGTCGAAATGAACAACTTCTATACTAAGTATCAGTCAAATGTTATTTAAAAAGCTAATATACAGTATATTAAATAACAAAGATGCTGACACAGCCTTAACTGTTGTAGTTCTTCTAATTACTGCGCCATGCCATGTTATATTATTTCACATGGCATAATTTAGTGTTATCTTTCTTTGTCAATGTATTACTCATCATTTTACAAATTACAAATCTTTTATAGGAAGGTAATTCATACTTGGACATAGTGCTAAAATGATGGAGTGATTTCCTTTTTTCTCAGTCATTGATCTTTCAAACTTTTTCATTTAGCTGTATTAATCATGTTTATTAGCTAAGCGCTGTCATAAAGAATGGAATTTTTCTGTTACTTTCATATTCAATTAAAATGTGTTTTGCTTGCTGCCTCTATCTGCTGCATCACACTAATCTATTTGCTTATTCTAATTGAAATTCTTGTTCATAAATTCAAAGCAAAGTCAATACTGCAGTTACACATTTTCATAACAATCTGTAATCTAATCAAAAATGTGGGATGTACCTGAGAAGGGAGTGTGCTTAAAATGCCTTTTTCCTCTAGAAGTGTTCAATCCAACTTTTTTTAAGGTGGTTTGTTTTGTGGACCAGATGTATGTCAGAATTCACTAACATGGTCTGCTTAACTGCTGTTTAAAAGGAACTTGTTGTTATTCGAGTGTCTAAGTGTGATACTGAAGAAAACTACAATCTGTAAAACTGCAGCAGGACACCCTCTCTTCAGAAGTCCGAGCAGATATTCCAGACCAAAGACATGGGTGCTTAATTTGCTATACCGTGTTTTTGGTGTAGACACTAATTACTGTGCATGATAGATCTGTAGACTCTTTTAAGTCGAAATTCCTGAATACTGACGATTTCCAACCCCAGCCTAACGCCTGGCTTGTCTAACCCAGCAAAGTGAGGTGTTTCACTTAGGACATGCCCAAATCAAACCCAGCAACAGAGGAGAAACTATTTAAGCTCAAAGATACAGCTGCAGGATAAGTTGTTGTAGCCTGTTCAAGGGTGAATTGAAGCTGGAATGCTGGTGAGCATAGGGTGAGTGAAGAGTGGAGCAACTCTGCAGGGGGATTAACAGTGGAGAGAGACTTGACAAGCCCAAGGATGGACACCAATTAGTCTCTGGCAGGAACTGGGTGGCCTGATTCTGGGTGGCCTGATTCCTGGGCAGCGGGAGACTGTGATTCAGTGTCTCAGATGTTCCCGTTCTGCCTTATTTACTTAATTGTGACTGATGTTTACTTGGATGATTTTATCCTTAAACATTTGGCTTTTCCTGTTTCCAGAAACTAGTGTTACGAAGGTAGGTGATGCTGAAAGTTTCTAATATTTTTTGACTGATGCATACTTAGTTATTTATTTTAAAAAAACAGATGTATGTTTCAGGTGCTTTGTTTGTGCTAGGTGCTTAGCTATGGTAAAGAGTATTAGCTTGTTGCTAACCAAGCAAAACGTCTTTTAAAAAGAAAAGTATATGCCATTTATGGTTTGTACCCTGTTTTGCAGGTGGGAGTGAATCCTCCTGGGATAAAGACAAGCTTCAGTCTCCCATTACGACGGGATCACAGCACAGCATTGGTCATCCAACACTGTCAGGGCAGTCGAGCCTTGGAAGTGCGCACCCACTCAGTCCTCTCCAGCAGAATCACCTGCTCACCAACAGTACGTACTGTGCTTTTATGGGGGAAAAAAAAAAAATTATTACATGGAGCCCTGCTTGGAGGCTGGGCTTGCACTCCTTCCAGTCCTCCTGGAGGCAGGGGAAGTGGATGGGAGACACATGAGTGGCAGGAGAGTCAGTCCTGCCACTGTCTGCTGCACTTGTGCATCACCTCCAAGCATCCACTGGGATACAGCCGCCATCTTTGAATAGTCACCCACTGCTGGGTTAGGGACTGTCAGTCCTTAATTGACATTTCCATGGCTTGGACTGCAGAGGAAAAAAAAACTATGAAAATGCTTAAAATTTTAGCCGTATGAGAAAATTCTCTTCCAGCTGAAAATGCTGACCACCAAATAAAAATATGAGAGCAAAGAATAAACACAAAATGTCTCGTTAAAAGGGAGCAGAAGCAATCCCTCTGCCTTGTTGTGCCTTGTACCTGCCAGGTGTGGGTAAGGTCATCCAGTGAACCCAGCTATCCAAAGCAACTGGAATAAAATGACACAAATAAAGTTTGGATTTGGAACTTAAAGCTCCCTTCCAACCCCTCTCTCTTCATTCCCTTAGGAAGGGGGCAGCTGGGAAGCCAGCAATTCCCCTTCTCATTTGCACCCAAAGAGGGAAGGAAGGGAAGGGAAAGTTATTCCAAGATGCTCAGTCTTAATATTTTAAAAGTTATTGAGGACTAAAGTTAATTCTAACAGATGATGATGGATGAAGAATGCAAATCTCAGTATTTTTGAATTCTTGTTATTTGTTTAAGCTCTTCATCCTCAAAGTTTTGAAAGCTGATTTTTGGTGTTAGTTTTAATGGATGAATGACATTTCTGGCTCTTTAAACAATTTTAGGAGCAGATAGTTCCCGGTTACCTATGTAGGGCCCCAGACTTGAACGAATCAAAGCTATTGAAATGACTCCTACAATAAGTGTCTTCTTTGCTCATGGCCAGGTATGCACTCGAGCATTTTGGGCATCTGGTTGAGTGTCAGTAGTTAAGAATCACTAGATTATGGGACTCAAATTCAGTATTGTTTCCCCTTTCATTTCATATTCTTGCATAATTCATTACCTGTATATATTTTGCATACAGGGATATTGTGGTTTTTGCTCTTAAAGAAAACTTTACAGATATTTTCCAGTAGATTTTTGTAGTAGGCAAATGTCTATAGGCTATTAAAGGGTTTATTGAATGTCAGGCATTATGTCCAATGATTTACAAGTGTAGGATATATTTTCTTCGTAGTCCTCTGAAATGTTTGACGGATTGTGTCTTAAAACTGGTGATGTGCTGTTAAATTGTGTTTGTAGTTTGCATTTAGTTTGCATGTCAATTGGACTTTAAGTAGACATACAACTCAATGTGGCCAGATGGTGTCTGGGAGTTTTGGAACTCTATGGAGTATGAGGAAAGATTATTGGGCTGTTAAGGGAGATACGCAGGGGAACAAAGGCTCATGGATTTAAGCACTGGAGGGGATTGTCAGTGTAGTTAAAAGTGAAGGGGGAGGCATGTGGGCTGTGCTTCCTGCTTATCATAATTAATATTGGTGTGGATCATCATATACAATATATAGCGAATCATAAGGCATCACAGTTGTTGATCATGATATGCTCACGCTGAACAGAAACAGTGTGTGAGCTCGGAATGTGCACGGTTCTGCCTTTTGTAGTGGGCACAGTGGTGGTTCTGTATCGCCGCGTGCAAATCGTATTGGAATAACATAAGCTGGATCAGTCCATGATGTTTTTTATTGTGGGTTCTGTCATACACCCTAATGGTGACTGGCCTTCTCGTTTAAAGTAGTTAAGATAAAGCCAAAAGTTAAAAAACTCTCGGAAATAATTAATGTGAATAGTGTATGGCGACTAGCTACTTGATTATGTTACTTACTACTTGTACCTGAAATTTTTAATGAGAATTTCCAATCTAAATTTCATTTAGAAAAATGATGAGGCATTTTTTCTGGTAGAATGAGTCCCATATTTTCTGAAGAAAGAATTTTGGGTGCACAAAGGTAGCTATATTCAAGTGGTCTTTCTAAAGAATTCTTAAATGCAAAAATAACCTGAAACAATTTTTTCAGTGAATGGATGTCTTGATCTTGCTTTCCATTGTAGTCGATACTAAATACAACAAGTAATACACATGCTGAAATAGGTAGGAATGAAACACAAGAATCCAGTTCTTGCTAGGAGTAACATCACATTTTTGGCAACATCGTGATCTGCAAGTTGATCCAAATGAATTTCGTAGTTTCTTAAGTCATTTTGTATCCATAGCTGAAGACAATTTAAAGTGACTTTTTGGAAATTAAAACCTCTGGCAACAATTTTAACCTCTCGTTACACGTCCCAGTTCACAGACCTTCTGTATGGTAGTTCAGTAGTGTCTGCAGTCCAACCCACAGCTTCCTGTAGTCAAGAAATAGTCCTAATATAAAAATCTTGTCTCAGATTTCCGTGTATGTGAACTAATGTAAGAGGACTTGGTAGGAGTATAATGTTATCTAAAATGATTAATAAATATTTCTCTGATGTATTGGAAAAACATGCAAATATCTACATGTTTTGTGAGTTTTACTGTATTTTTCTTGATAAGTAGATCACTGAGCTTATGCACTATTGTATATTCATTTTGCTAATATTATGTTTCTTTACAGCTGTCTGTTTTTTTCCCTAATACAAACCATACAGCCTTTTCTGGAATGCAAAGACAATTTCTTCCTATGTAACATCAAAAATATTAACACGTAATAATAGTCAGCGTGATTAGTCAATGTGCTAGTCGAATACAGGCACTAAAAATTAAGGTGTTGGGTGATAAATGGAGGGACCAACACACATAACCTGCCCATGCTCTCTTTTTAGGGATAGACCTGCCGTTTATGATGATGCCCCACCCTCTGCTTCCCGTCAGCCTACCTCCCGCTTCGGTCGCAATGGCAATGAACCAGATGAACCACCTCAATACCATAGCTAACATGGCTGCAGCAGCCCAGATGCACAGTCCTCTTTCCAGGGCAGGGGCCTCTGTCATAAAGGTAAGAGTCATCTATGAGACTTGGAAAAAATAGCTTTTTGTGGCTAACAAAACAGTTACTTTCTTAAGGAAGATAACTAAGAGGCAACGAGCTTCTGCTGCCTGTTGCGCACCTGGTCTGCTGTTCCTGGTGGTACTTCAGTTTGAGGAGACCCCACGAGTACAGTCAAGAAGTTAAGATGCTCTGCTCCACCTACATATCTCTCATGTAATTAAAAACAGATACTCACTAGAGGCTAGGGGAATAAGCAGTGCTGCATCTGTTAGAGCTCAAAAGCTATTCCAAAATGTCATTTAAAATCAAACTTAATGCTATGCTTAAAAGAAAATGCAGTAGAACATAGCAGGAAGTGTGGAGCAGTGCAATTCTAGAACAGGTTAATAGCAGAGAAAATTGTCAGAAGTACCTCAGTGAGTATAAGCTCTGGTAGCCACACCTAAATTTCCTTCTGGCTGGATAAAATGTTTTTATGCTTTTGAAAGGCTTTCGATAGTCTGTTCTGAGCAGGTCTTTAAGAAAATTTGAGGCCTGTTTTGAGAGCTGAAGTGCTGCCACACACTAAAAAATATGTTGAGACAAGAAATTTTCAAGGTAGAAGGATATAAGGTCAGTGCATGGGAAGGGTTGGTACTATGGGATTCTCTAAAACACAATGTGTCCTCAATCTAACCTTGGTGGGTATTTGCATGCATGTGCATGCTTCTTGTTGACAAAACAAAATTTTGTCAACTTTGAAAGATAGCTATTTTAGTCCGTGTTTCTTTGGTTTTAAATGTAGGAGTCTATAGAGCTGTCTGTTCCAGAAAGTACATGTCTTTTTATATTTATGCTCATTTACACTCATGTATCCCCACCACTGGGGAATCCCAAAGTTCTGAGTTGCTTTATTCTAAAAACTTCTACTGATTTGTTGAACTTAATTTCTCATATCTTTATTGTAAAACATCTTAATTATAAAATATCATTATTTTATCATTGAGAAAGTTACTGTTGCCAATATTACAGCCGAATTGTGCGAATAAATTAGTTAGGATTGTATAGTACTTTCTGTTGTCACAGCTTTCCACTGCAGGGAATTTTGTTTCTACATCAAGCAGGGAAAGAAACTAGTAGTACACAACGACATGTTTATTTTTCATACAGGTATTTACTGATGCCAACATACTTTGAAGGAAGGAAGCAAATCCTGTTTGTTACATTGCAATAGCATAAAATATTACATGTGCCTGTTGCTGAGGTTCTGGAGGTCTTCGTTTTTCTTCTGATCATCTTCTTGTTCTGAGTGTCTCCAACATTGCCTCAGATTGTTTTCCTTCTTTACTGAGAGTCCATTTCCAAACTGGGGCAAATGATGTTCTTAATACTTTGATTTTGTTTACATCTTGTTTTCTTGGATTCTGGAGGCGGGTAAAATTCAAGGGGGGCATTCCGCAGTTAGAGACTACTTGGGATTAACAACTATAAAAACTTCTTGTCATCAGTGTATCTGCACAGTTGTTGACGGGGTGGGGGAAACATGGTATCTCCGATGTCCAACTGCCTGTGAGTTAATGCAAGTCACTGAATTGTTAGAAATTAATTGAGGTTCCATTTATTTCACTCAGTAACCTTTTCTTTAACTGTTCAGAGACCTCTTGAGGAAACCGTAACTTAAATACAGCAGTGGAATATTTGTAGCAGCAAGTAGACTGCGTTAAGCTTTGATTGTATTTTAAATGCTATCAGGATGTCAAAATGAAGATTAAATATGTATTTATGAACAATGCTGGTACTTTGTAATATAAACTACAGTTTTTGCAAGCGGTTGTGTTTAAGGATGCTCGTTAGCAGGCCCTTGCTGATGCTAGTTACTCATTTACAGCTATTTTTTCCCCAGCACCTGCACTAGAGGATACACAATATCTCCCCAGCAACAGTAGGTCTCACCAGCACTCTAGTGGGAATTATTTCCTCTACATGATGTAGAGGAAAATACACCAGTAGCTAATGTGACAGAGGTAAAGTGTGCATCCGTTGCTGTGTTACTCTCACCTGTCAAGTGATGCTGCATCCTTCTCTCATTTGTTCTGGATGCTGAAACTGTAGATGAATTTTGTTACAGAGAGCGTGAGGCTCCTTTTGTCCTTTCCTCCCTTACGTACAATCGTCTCGCTCTGACTGATGACCAATTAAGATGAAATCCATATACAAAATGAAACATGTAAAAGAAAAGCAGTGCTGCTGTTGTTACTTGTCAGCAATATTACTTTTATTGTATGACATTCTTGGAGTGCATTTAATAAGTACAGAAATTGAATAGTTTTAGATAGATTGCAATTCCAGCATCGTGATGTTACTTAAAATGGAAGAAATGAATCGAATATATTGAGTGTGTATCTATTTCCGTGTTCTGATGACTAAAATACCACTTGGCCCGTTTTGTATAGGTGTGAGAATCAGCTGCTTTATAAAGGTTTTGAATGAAGTCATTATGCTTTTTATATCACGTTTGCCATTTAGAAAGAAGCTGTTCTACCAAGATATGCATGATCAGCAAAGTTAACATTTAGTGCTCCAGAAAGAAATGTCATAACTATGAAACTTGATTTCTTCCTGACAGGAACACTATAAATTAGGCAGGCACAATGGCCAGGCTCACAAAACCTTCTTAGCCATCTATAATATGATCTGATGTGATTATAGCAGTGCTGTAGCTAAGGTTCTGACAGTGCTCCTGTAATAAATCAAGTCTTTCAGGGATTTACTGCGCATCTGAAAGAGCTTGCTTCATTTGAAACTTGGCTCAAATGGTTCTGAAGAATCCATATAATCGAGGGTCTCATATGGCAGATCCAAAATTTGTCAGCAGCACTGACTTCACCACCCTCTCTCTTCTCCCTCTTGCATCTGCTCTCCTTTCTTTTTTTCCAGAGCTATTCTTCAGCTGGATGAACTTGGCAATCCAGTTACTGGCCTAGGTGTAAAATGCTTTGCCAGCCTGATCTTGAGGACCAGTCTGGGCTGGAACTTAGCTGAAGTACGCTTGAATTGTGGTTTAGGCTAGAAACAGCGGTGAATAAATTTAGTAATTTACTATCATACAATAATTTTGCTCCTGAAACTCATAAAAATCAAGTGGTGATATTTTCAGCTCTTCAGGAGCAAAGTTTGGATGGGCCCTTTATAGAAAAGGGAAAGGATTTTTCGCTGAAGTTTGTGTAATAACTCAAATCCAGAGAGCAACAACTACGTAACATTAAGTTTTTTATTTTATGCTGGACCTATAATGAATAGGACTAATTATGTGACGAGTGAATACAACTATTAATATGAATTCACAGCATGTTATACAGTTAATCATAAAGGAGCTGTTGAGATGTGTGTTGATGACACAAATTGAGTAAAATGCTGAAAGCACATCTAAATCTTGACAGATTATTTAAATTGAAATTGACCCACAGGAGTTGAGACCTCACAGCACTTAACATGGACAGCAAATACACGAAGAGGTGTCACAGCAAAAATGGGAATCGAATCATAGAATCATCGAACGGTTTGGGTTGGAAGGGGCCTCAAAGATCATCCAGTTCCAACCCCCCTGCCATAGGCAGGGACACCCTCCCCTACAACAAGGTGGCCAAAGCCTCATCCAACCTGGCCTGGAACACTTCCAGGGAGGGGGCAGCCACAGCTTCTCTGGGCAACCTGTTCCAGTGCTTCACCACCCTCAGAGGGAAGAATTTCTTCCTTAGATCCAATCTAAATCTCCCCTCTTTCAGTTTAAAGCCATCACCCCTTGTCCTGTCACTCCATGCCCTTGTCAAAAGTCCCTCCCCAGCTTTCCTGTAGCCCCTTTAGGTACTGGAAAGCTGCTATGAGATCACCCCGGAGCCTTCTCTTCTCCAGGCTGAACAGCCCCAACTCTCCCAGCCTGTCTCCATAGCAGAGGTGCTCCAGCCCTCGGATCATCTTCCTGGCCTCCTCTGGACTCGCTCCAGCAGCTCCATGTCCTTCTTGTGTTGGGACTCCAGAGCTGAACACAGTATTGCAGGTGGGGTCTCAGGAATAGCTCTTTTGTTTGTTGACGGTGCTTTTGGACCTCGGAATCAGACCATGCCCCTGTAACCGCCCCCTGTTCACAGTGGAAGGAGGCCTCCAGCTGCAGATGCTCAAGCCGTACGCAGTAAAAGCATCAGGAGTGTGAGGACAGTGTCATCGAGCCCGAAGTCTCGATTTACACGGATTGAGCCAGAAGGGGCTCAGATGAGTAAAAACCAAAATGGCTTCACAGTTTCAGCAAGGCAGGGAGGGGCAGGTTTGGGGTTGGGAAAGTGTAAGCAGGGCTGCAAGAGCCACGCTGCTGGAACTACGACTGTGCAAATCTTTGTGTGTTCACTGAACGGCCGCTTTCCCAGATTTCTTTTGAAACAGGATGGTGGGAGATACTGTGGTTAGGGTGGGCTTGGAATTGTGGGAACCGGATCCAAACCAGGGGCCTTAAGCTGCTCCCTTTTGTGTTAGGTATCAAAAGAGTACTGAGAGTAGAGTAATGAGGCAAAATCTTATCCCAGGATTTGAGAGGCTTTTACCCTTTTCTACCAGTTTTTCCTTGCTTCCTATTCTGTTCACCCCACATATTTTACACTTTCCTTGCTCCTCTTGCTCATGTGTTCCACCCTTCCTCCTCCATCTCTCCTCCTCCTTGTAGCTCTCTCTCCTTTTTCTTCTGGCTCTCTAACAGAATCTTCGGAGCCACTGAGAGATGTGCTTCTCCCGAGTAGGAGTATTTCTGCAAATTGGTTTCCTGCTGTCCATTTTTCTTCTGTCGTTATTCCCTCATGCTTGCTGCATTCCTACTTTTCTTGTATTTTTTCTGCTCTTATCCAGGTGCCAATTAGAAACAAATGGCACGTTTGTTGAATGCAGCTGCAAAACCCGGAGGAAAAAAGTTAAAATCTAATTGAAATGCTTTGTTTCGAAAAAAAACTCATAAGAAAGCATTTTTATTTTTGTATTTGAAA